ACTATTACTGAATATGATGGTTATCCTTGCCGTTGCCTGAATGTGATAGTAATGATAGTAATGATAGTAATGTTAATATGGATAATCAATTTGAATATATGAGGGAAACACAATATGATAAATGTAGTTTGAAAACTGATATTTCCACTAACGAGCCAAGACTTACTAATGAACAGAGATGTGTATTTGATGCTGTCTACAATTCAGTTCTTCGCCACGATGGTAAATTATTTTTCATCGACGCTCCTGGAGGAACTGGTAAGACATTTATACTAAAGTTATTATTGTCAAAAATAAGACATGAAGGAAAAATAGCGTTGTGTGTTGCATCGTCAGGGATAGCTGCAACATTATTGCCTGGAGGACGAACAGCACATTCAATGTTTAAATTACCTCTACCTCTCACTATGATAAACAACGATTTACCTGTATGCAACATAAAAAAAGGGTCAGCAATGGCCAAAGTAATACAAGAATATAAGTTGATTGTATGGGACGAGTGTACTATGGCTCATAAAAAAGCTATTGAAGCACTGAACCGTTCATTGATTGATCTGACTGGTAAAAATGATATCATGGGTCGGATTACGATTGCATTTTCAGGTACCTAATACAATTATTTTTCAGTTACATTTTATTTATTACCGTCATCAAACAACCATGTATTGTCATTACTCATTTCATTAGTTATGTAATATTTTTAATTAATTGTAGGTGATTTCCGTCAAATTTTACCTGTTGTGCATCGGGGTACTAAAACTGATGAAATACATGTATGTATTAAATCGTCAAATTTATGGGAACATGTTATTAGATTGAAACTTACGTCTAATATACGAGTACAATTAAGTAAAGAACAAGATTCAGGTAAAATATAATGAATGGTCAATTTTTAATGTATTTGTATAAATATGAACAGTAATAAAGTGTTATTATTGATTCAAAGTAAATATAATTAATTTTTAATTAAAATTATACTTCAATAGTTATATTGTAATCATGAAATTCATATTAATTTAATGGAAAAATATTTTAATTTCAGATGAATTTAGTAAGTTTTTATTGGATATTGGAGAGGGAAAATTACCGATAGACGAAAATAATCAAATTTCATTGACCCGATGACTTTGGAAAAATTATTTTTAATATCCCTGAATTAATAAATAGTATTTATCCCGACTTAACCAATGTCACTTTATGTAATAATTCTTGGTGGTGTGAACGTGCTATATTATGTCCAAAAAACTCACAAGTCACTTTAATTAATTCTATGATATTAAATTGTATTAATACGAAAGAAACACTATATGTTTCAATTGACACAACACCAGATCCTGAACAATGTGTGAACTATCCTTCTGAATTTCTTCATACTTTAAATCCACCTGGTTTTCCACCGCATGAGTTGAAATTAAAAGTAGGCATTTTATATTTTGTTAGTACACTAACATAAAATTAATCTGAATAATATTATTTTTAATTTCCATACGTCATGATATACTTCATATTTTTTTAAGGTTGGAACACCCATAATATTGCTCCGTAATTTAGACGCACCTAAATTGTGCAATGGAACAAGATTATTGATTTCAAATTTACACCAAAATGTGTTAGAAGCAACTATTTTAACTGGTAGTTATTCCGGAGAAAGTGTGTTCATACCTCGAATACCAATGATACCCACAGATTTTCCAATTGAATTTAAAAGATTACAGTTTTCTGTAAAACCCTGTATGGCAATGACCATTAATAAGGCTCAAGGTCAAACGTTCAAAGTCATTGGGATTGATTTAAGTGAGCTATGCTTTTCTCATGGTCAGTTATATGTAGCGTGCTCTAGAGTAGGCAGTTCTAAGTGTATTACAATTTTATCACCATCTGCAAGTAAAACTAAAAATATTGTTTACCCGGAAGTTTTGTAAATATCAATGATATAATTAATATTGATTTAGATATTTAGATATTTATATTTTTGTATATATGTATATTATATAAAATAAATTATGTTGGGTTTAATATTTTTTTAAATGTAATTCATTTAAGCTATTTTTGTTATTACATTAAAATTAATCTTATTAACTGTATAATTAATTTAATGTTAGATAATACCTACCTACCTATTATAAATGTTAATTGAATTGTAGCATAATTATAAAATAAACATTATTATTCAACGTCACGCGTATATGTGTTAATTACGTATTATGTATTTATGTGGTATCTTTAGTTTTGACATTTCATTGGGCAGTGGCCCCACCCATAACACGCCTCCCTCATGCTATTCGTTAATGGCATTTCCATCGACCCTTTAAATACGAGCACTCATCTATATCGATTATCAGTTATTCTTTCACCATTTAAGTGAAACGAAGTTTATCTAAAGTTCGTATACCTATTTATAGTAAAAAATTTGCTGTTTCAATTATGGCCGGTGTGGTAAATATTCGAGACATCGATCAGTCATTGGGATCAAGGTAATTATCGATTTTAAATTACTGAAACTTAGATATACAATACTTAACAAAGTATTAATGGCACTTTTTTTGCACACGTACCAATTAATATTATATGCCGCATTTATAATATGATGTAGGTATTATAATTTCATATTTAGTTTTAAGATTGAAGCACGTGTTTTAAAAGTTCACGAATTACGTTCCTTCAAAAATAATATAGGAAAACTTTTTTGTGTGGATATATTTGATGCTACGGGAGAAATACGTCTCACCGCTTTTAATAACGATGCCGAAAATGTGTGCTCAATTTTCAAGGTATGATATGAAGAATAGTAATAAATAATAATATTACGATCGTCAAATACGATTTATTAAATTTAAATATGTAGGGATCTTATATCTATAAAAACATTATGATTTGTACCTTTATAGAAAGACCAGATTTTTAGCATAGTAAATGGAAAAATTAACAAATCTAATAAATTATACAATCGCCTTAATCATAATTATGAAATTATAATGGGACCTATGACAATTATTACTCAAATAGAAGATACATCGGATGTAGTTCCAACACACGTCACTCTTATGACGTTTGATAGTATTATATCATTAAATAATGATGCGATAGTTGGTATGTATACACATTATTATATATTATATAGGCTATAGTCTTCCGCGTTATAATTAATTTTATTTACTACTTGATTACTTTCTAGACACTATTGGAGTAATAATTCGCATAGAAGACATAGTAGACATTGTAAAGCCAACCAAAACACTGAAACTACGAGATGTTGTAATAGCAGATAGGTAATACTGGAATCGAGGTAAGTAGGTTTTGTATTACAATAGACATTTTATCTATTTTAAATACCTATAAATGATTTTATGTTATATTTTATTTTAGATAACACTTAGGTACGCTATGGAACGAAGAAGCTTCTTTATTTACTGGACAAATAGAAGACGTTCTATCAGTTGAGAAGAGTAAATTAGTTATTTATAAAAAAGGGAAAAAATTATCTGTAACGCATTCTACTGTTATACAAATTAACCCTAATTGGCCTGAAAAAGATGTGTTAAAAGAATGGTATAAAAAGGAGGGCCGATATCAAGTCGATAGAATGGATTTAACACAATCATCGTCAATCGATAACACTACATTAAATCAATCAGGTTGGTTTTTAAAATAGGTTACACAAATTGACTTACATAGCAACATTCTATAATGTGTATTGTATTTTTTTTCCAATAATAGATACCGCATATTTAACATCAGTAGATGACAAGGTTATTTTTCAAATAATAGAAGACGAAAAGTCTACGAAGCGTCGTTTAGACGAGATATACATCCTCCAAGAACAACTGCAAAATGAAATTAATGAACTTACATTTAAAAAAATCAGATTAAATCTCGAACGTCAAGCAGTAGAAAATAGAATTATTAGTAGAAGGCAATAAGACATTTGTCCGTATGCATAGTCAATTGAATATTAATTTTATTATTGTTTATATAGTAACTTCTGTAATTTATTGAAATTCAAACGAAATATTCTATTTGTTTGTTTATTTATTATTGTTATTATTGATATTATTATTATTAATTATTTGTTTGCACTTGCATTTTTCTATTTGAAATATATATATTATTAATTGAACAAATAATTTATTGTTACCTTCTTTTATACCTTATCTCTATTCTATATAATAAAAAGAATACAATTTACCACTCCGGTGGTTGAATTCAAAATGTAGGATATCAAATTTTCAGAAATTACTAATAATAATAACTACAATATGAAATTATATTATATTGTTTGTATAGCCAAAAAATAGTCATGTTTTTAAATTAAATTTTAAAAAAATAATTCCTTCCGGAGGAAGATCGGGCAGCTAG